TAGTGGCTGCGTGGTTGGCTTGAAACCAGTTATTGGAGGTTCGATTCCTTCCTTTCTTGTTAGGCCTTGGTAAATGTAGGTTCTTCGAATGTGTGATAAGGAGGAGGACAACCGTTAATTCACTCAATGTTAGTTGAGGTTAGTTGTGCTACGTCTACTTCACGTTTTGATGCGAATGCTTCTCACACAATGTAAACTATAACAATAACAGCAAGTATAGAAATAAGGGAACCGGTTGATGAGATAGTATTTCATAGTGTGTAGGCATCTGGGTAATCAGAATAGCGTCATGGTATTCCTGATAATCCTAGGAAATGTTGTGGGAAGAATGTGAGGTTAACGCCTACAAATATCATTGCGAATTGGGCTTTGACTCAGGTGGAATTAAGTGTATAACCAGTGAATAGAGGAAATCAGTGGACAAGACCTCCTATAATAGCGAATACTGCACCTATAGAGAGGACATAGTGGAAATGGGCTACTATGTTGTAAGTGTCATGAAGGACAATATCAAGGGAGGAATTAGCTAGGACAATTCCTGTTAACCCTCCTACTGTAAATAGGAAAATAAAGCCTAGAGCTCATAGCATGGCAGGGGATCATTTAATGTTACCTCCATGGAGAGTAGCTAATCAGCTAAATACTTTTACTCCTGTTGGAATAGCAATAATTATAGTAGCTGAGGTGAAGTATGCTCGAGTGTCTACATCTATACCTACTGTAAATATATGGTGGGCTCATACGATAAAGCCTAGGAAACCAATTGATATTATTGCTCAGACTATCCCTATATATCCAAATGGTTCTTTTTTTCCTGAATAGTAGGAGACAATATGAGAGATTATTCCGAATCCGGGAAGAATCAGAATATATACTTCTGGGTGACCAAAAAATCAGAATAGGTGCTGGTAAAGGATTGGGTCACCTCCTCCTGCTGGGTCAAAGAAAGTGGTGTTTAAGTTTCAATCTATTAATAGTATAGTGATGCCAGCAACTAAGACTGGTAAGGAAAGTAGAAGAAGGATAGCTGTAATTAGAACAGATCATACAAATAATGGTGTTTGGAATTGTGTTATAGCTGGGGGTTTTATATTAATGATTGTGGTAATAAAGTTAATAGCCCCTAAGACAGAAGAAATTCCTGCTAAGTGTAGTGAGAAAATTGTCATATCTACTGATGCTCCGGCGTGAGCTAGATTTCCGGCTAGTGGGGGATAAACTGTCCATCCTGTTCCTGCACCCGCTTCTACTATGGATGATGCTAGAAGTAAGAGGAATGAGGGTGGAAGGAGTCAAAAGCTTATATTATTTATTCGTGGAAAGGCTATATCGGGGGCTCCAATTATAAGAGGGACTAATCAGTTTCCGAATCCACCAATTATAATAGGTATTACTATAAAAAAGATTATAACAAAGGCGTGGGCTGTTACGATTACATTATAAATTTGGTCATCACCTATTAGAGCTCCTGGTTGGCTTAGTTCAGCTCGAAAAAGGATACTTAGGGCAGTTCCAACTATCCCTGCCCATACTCCAAAAATTAGATATAATGTACCAATATCTTTATGATTAGCTGAGAAAAGTCAGCGGTTAATGAACATAGGTAAAATGGCTGAGTAAGCATTAGACTGTAAATCTAAAGACGAGACAGAAGTCTCTTTTACCAAGCTCTGTGGTGTGATCATGTCGAATTGCAAATTCGAAGAAGCAGCTTCAATTCTGC